GAAATATGCATATTTAAATTTCCAAAAGAAGTTAAATTCTTTTACATTTTAAAATATATTTAAGGGTAACAGGAATTACAAAGTTACAGGAGGTAGATTTAGGAAGTGATGGATTTATTTATCTTTTTTTGTAGTGGCAATTTCCTGACTGTATACTTATGTCCAACTTTAGTAAATTTTACACTTTAAACATGTGCAGTTTGTTGCTTATGAATAATACCTCAATAAAGCCATTTAAAAATTCAAAAAAAGTAACCAGAACATGTTTAACACTTACAAAGGAATATAATATACAAGGTACAGTTTAAAGCCATAAAAATAAAATCCTTAACCCCTCCACCCAAACCAAGAATTGGAACTTTACCAAAACATAAATCTACTTAGGAGTTTATCTCTGCTTCTCACTGAAGTGATCCTTAGTCTAGTAGATTTTGTGTTTATCATGTCTTTGCCTTTTAAAAAAAAGTTTGACCACACACATGCATGCCCAAACACAGTGCATTTATTTTTCTTTTCTTTGATAAAAATGGGATATAAATGTGTTTCTGTTACTTTCATTGCTATATAATATTGCATTAATCGGCCATAACTCATGGGCATTTAAGTTGTTTGTGGGTTTTTTCCTTTATTTTTTCGCCATTAAGAACTGCGCTCTATGAACATAACTTGCTTCTGGCTTCTGGTGTACAGGTACTATAGTTTTTCTAGGATAAATATTTAATGTAGCTGTAATACTTAGAATGTTTTAGGTAGCCACCATAGAATAGATTGAAATACTGGAAACAAATTGAATGGACAACACTGGGATTCTGTATTAGATTTAAATGGAAGATTCATAGCCATCGTGATTGGTTCATAGTTGTTGAACATTTGCATGAGAATTGGATCCCTGGTAATCAGTATATAATGAATCTCTTAATTTCAAATCACATTGTGAAAAATCTGGCACTATATACAGTTTTTTTTGTCAACGCAAAAGTGGTAAGTATAGTGGAAAAAAAACCTTCATTGTGTGTAAAACAAATCACTCTTTCTGTTCCTCTCACATCCTACTGTTAATCTTTGGCAAGTTACTTAACATGTCTCTTGTGCCTTAGCATACTTGTGTAAAAGAAATCTGTCCCTTATCATACCAGTTTTGCACAGACTTAAGCACAAATCAAGTGCCAGAGCCTTTTAGGGAACCAATTAGGACCATGTTTTCTGTGGAATTAGTGAATATGCCCTTTGGAAAAAAAAGATGTAGTGGGTGTTCCAGGAAATGTCAACCACACATTTATGTATATTTTACTTAGCCTCTTGAGTTAGGAATGCCCCCAGGTATGCTTTTGGAGAGATCTATTTTGATTATCATGCTAACAGCAGTGCAATGATAAATTAGGTAGCAATATTTCCTTAATTTTCTAAAGATAGGAGTGTGTGTGTGATATGACTTTATGTTTGGCTTTGAAAAATTTGTTTTTATTTGAAAACTGTGAGAATAGAGACAGTTCCATTTTTTATAGTATGTGTAGTTTCAGACAAATACCTGGATGTTTTGTTAGGGCTGTAATATCCTGCTTTAAAAAACTGATTTTTTAAATTGGATTATAAGGGTAATTTATTTTTCAAATTTTGAAAAAGAATAGATAGTTAACAAAGAAAAGTCATTTATCACACCACCAGAGATAACCATTGTTAACATTTTGGCAAGTATATTCTTGGTCTTTCTACGTGTATTCTTCATATCCTAACCAATATTAGGTATGAATAGCTAGCTCCTGTCTAGTGGTGACCTTACATACAACAGAAGTAAAGGCTGCCCAGTCCTGTATCCCATCCTCATGACTGTGTCTTCCATTGTGGCTATTACACCAGCCCTAGGATCTTCCTTGCCTTATGGAGCACAGTCATTTAAATGTGTAAATTATGTTGTCTTACTCCTATGCTGGGAGCTCTGGTAGCATAGTGCCTATAGCACTTGACTGCTAACCAGAAGGCTTGCAGTTCAAACATACCAGCCACTCCTTGGAAGGAAGGTTGGGCAATCTACTTCTGTAGTGATACCGCCTCGGCAACCCAAGGAGGGGTCGCTATGAGTTGGGTCCGACTTGATAGCACATAACAGCAACAACAACATGTCACTGGTATTTTAGATACCAGCAGGGTCACCTATGGTGTACAGGTTCCATTGGAGCTTTCAGATTAGGACTAGGAAGGAAGGCTTGGTGATTTGCTTCTAAAATCAGCCAATGAAAACCCTATGGATTATAACATAATATTGTGCTGGAAACTGAGCCCCTTACATTGGATTAATGTTACAATACATTACATTACATTACCCAGTGGCCACAACAATGGACATGAGCATACCAGTGATCGTGAAGATGGTGGATGCATGACTGGGCAGTGTTTCTTTCAAATTTACATGGAGTCACCATGAGTTAGAGCCGACTTCATAGCAACTAACAACAAAAGAATGTCTTTATCAAATAACTTTTGAGGTTTTGCCTTAGACTTAATCCTTTAGTTAAAGGGAATGTACAGCTTTGTAATTCTGTAAGAGTGAAGAGTTTCTTTAGGTTCTAGAAGAAACTATGTGTAGCCTTGTGTTCTGGTCTTGATGGAGGTGGTATTTGTTCCTCTAATTATCTTTTCTTGGTAGCTTAGCTTCTCTTCTAATTCTACTCTGTAGGGCTTGGACTGTGGTCCTGAGAGCAGCAAGAAGTATGCTGAGGCTGTCGCACGGGCTAAGCAGATTGTGTGGAATGGACCTGTGGGGGTATTTGAATGGGAAGCTTTTGCCCGGGGAACCAAAGCCCTCATGGATGAGGTGGTAAAAGCCACTTCCAGGGGCTGCATCACCATCATAGGTAAGGGGTTCTGTACAAAACTAATACTTGTGGGCTGGTAGAATTCTGAGAGGAAGGTAGAAGGGAAGTAGTTAACTTTTCCTGGGTTTCTTGGCTCTAAGTGAATTCATGGAGGTACCACTTAATGAGATGGAGTTGAGGGGTTTATCAGCTAGCTTTTGGGCTTGAGCATCCACTGCCTCATAGTTTTGGTGCCAATTCTTTGTCTTGTTTTTCTTTTCTCTTCTTTCCTTTTTTACCTGGCCTTCATCCAACAGGTGGTGGAGACACTGCCACTTGCTGTGCCAAATGGAACACAGAGGATAAAGTCAGCCATGTGAGCACTGGGGGTGGTGCTAGTCTGGAGCTCCTGGAAGGTGAGGTTCCTTTTTTTCTGCTTGTTAGCAGGTGGGGAGTCTATGCAGTGAGACGTGAGTAGAATGGAGTGGAGTAAGTCAAATAAGTAGTTTTGTCATTAGCAGTCATTATTAGCTGGGCAGTAAAAATGGAGATACATCAAATAAAGCTCTTGGTACCCATTTGAGGTGAGAATGGACAGACAGGGAAACTTTTTCTCAAAGAAAGAGATTTTTAGTAGATGTGGGACCCAAAATGCAAAAGTTACTTAACTTCTGGCCATTTACTCTAAAGAAGAGTTAGTGTGTTATTGGGAAGATAGAAGGTAGTAGATCTGGCTTGGTGAACCCTATAGTAATGCTGTCTCTCTGTGTGTACTTTCTCAAAAACAGGTAAAGTCCTTCCTGGGGTGGATGCTCTCAGCAGTATATAGTGTTTTTCTGCACTTTGGTTCCTGTGCACAGTCCTAAATCAACTTAGTGCTTTCCCCCTTATCTCCACTTGGCATGAGCTGAAATCTTTCCCCATGTCAAGATTCAACTAGTGGCCAAGAGATGAAGCACCAGGAATCCTTAAACAGCTGATCTTTATTGCACCTTGGATCTTCCTACATTCTTCAAGATCCCATTTGAATTTCTTAGTGGCTAACCTGTTGTGCTTTCTAGAGTGTGTATATTTATATTTTGCCTGTTAAAAGAAAGTGAGCTGTGTTAGCTTAGTTATCTTTTTTGAGTAGCTTACTCTGATTAGCTTCTTCATTGTTTCATTATTGTCATGGAAAGATGAAATTCTAGTTTTAGGTAGGTACGGGGACAAAGTTGATGATCTATCAAGTAAACAATAAAATTGTTCATTTAAACTAATTTTTTTTTCCTGTCATACTGTGTTAGGGGGTGTGAGAACAGAATCTTTGGGGAAGGGATCAAATCATCTACATTTCTGAATATAATTAATGAGGCAACAATAGTAGGGGTGGTATAAAGAATTAGATAAATGTTTAGTCTTTATCAAGGGACTTATGGCAGGCATTGTCCTAGGTACTTTAAATTTAATTTTTATCAGTAACATGATCATAACTTAAAATGTCAAGGCTTACAATAAAGAATAGAACCCACCCAATTCCTCTAATTTCAGATTCCCCCTGCCCAGAGATGACTACTTTCAATTCTTAGCTTTTCTCTGGTATCTAACTCCATGTTTCTAAAATGTGAATACTATTAATAATGTCTCAATTTTTAAAAAAAGATAATGGCTTCCATTCCATGTATACTTCCCTTTACTTATTCTCCCAATATAGTTTTGTCACAATCATAGATTAGATCAATAGTCTACATTATGATTGTAAATACTATTCACAACTGAACTATACTATATGATTTTATTTACTTATGTAATTCTTTACTTTTGGAGTTGATAGTTTAACAAATACTTTTTTCTGTGTACTTACCACTAATTCATTCTTAAATCTGCTAGAAGTATACATGTCTCAATATATTAAAACATACCAGGCAGCCTATTTATTTTTATTGGAAACATCTCTCCTGGAGTACTTTGTGTTCCTGCTTCAATTTGTATTGGATGCCCTCTAGATTTGCTGTACAGCTGTTTCTCTGGGATTTCCTTGAGGATTGCTTTCACCTCCTGTGTTGGATTCCCTTTTCCCCTTTCTTGTTTTACTCATTTTCGTGGAACAGAAGACTGCTAACTTCTGAGAAAGGCTGCCTGGGAGGTAAATTTTTTGAGACCTTGTATGTCTAACAATGCCTTTATCCAATCCTTATACTTGATTGCTAGTTTGGCTATATTTAGAATTTTAGCCTGGTTATCACTTTTCAGACCTGAAGGCATTGCTTCATTATCATTGTAGAGTTCCAGTATCTTGTAATTTTAATGGGGCTTGGGGAGAAAGTAAAAGTAAATATGTGCTTTCAAAGGCCATATTTAACTAGAAATTCTGTGCTGAGCATTTTACATGTAAGATATGTATTTCAGTGTTATGGATGAAGAAATAGTTAAACTATTGGGCAAAATCAGAGCTAGTAAGTAATAGCAGAGATTCAAATCCAGGTTTGTCTGAATCCAAAACAGAGCTTTGAACCATATCATGGTTCAGTTATGGCTGATGAAGTGAAACCTGAACACACTTAAATTTGTAAAATGTTAGTGAACTGGGACAATAACCAGAAGGGGAAAATTATGGGGCAGTGTGCTGCCAGAAACTCAGTCTCCCTCAGAAAAAAAGGGCAGTATGCATATTGCATAGTAACCAAATCTCTTGACTGGCACAGTCAGAAACAGTGTTGCCCTGCTCAAAGATGGCTCGGACTGCTCCACGTCACTGTCCACAGTCCTGGCAGTAATCCAGTCTCCTGCATGATGCTCCTAAAAGGGCTCACTATGCCTCTTTCGAGTTTCCTATTCCAGGGATTCAATCTGTAATTTTTCCCATTCTGGTTTTTTTGCTTCACCCAGATTTTTAAAATCTGAGTTAATTTTGATTTTGCTTCATTGGCCATGACTGATCTGGTTCAGATTGGTTTGAAGCCCTACTCCAAAGGCCTTTTATTGTGCCTTACTTCCTGAAAATGATGCTTCTAGAGCAGGACATTTTTGCTTAGTTCTGAAGATAACAGCAAAAGAAAATTTTGATGGCTGCTCTAAACAAAATTTTGAAAGCTCATGTTTTCTTCTGAAAAATTTATTTGTATTTTAGTTAATACTGTATCCTTATTTGTAGTTAATGTTTTTTAAGGAGGGGTAGACGCTCAGGAGTGGGGAGGGGGGGCTTTTGCCTACGCTAGTCTCCAATCTCTCCTGTAGTTAATTTTAATATGTTTTAACTTGAATAAAATCAGCATTCGGTGCAAATAAATACACCATGCTTGTGCATACCTTTAAGGGTACTCTGGCTTGAAAAACAGGAATTTCAGCCCAGTCTCTTTTTACATGAGGCCTAGAGGTGTGTGTTTCCCGCAGATCCAGCAAATTAATGTCATAGTTGGTCTAGAATAGAATTTAGGTAAACTGATAACTTTTTTTCCTCTTATTACCTTTATCCCAACATTTTATTATAAAAAACTTCAAATGTACATAGGCTTTGAAAAAAAATAGCAAATACCCATAAACCCAGCACCTAGATTCTATACTTGCCAAGTCATCCATTAATCTTTGATAACTTTTTTTTTAAATCCCTGATTACCTTTTAAGTACTTTCTGTTCGACTTTGCTTCTAGTATGTGCCCCCATTTATTTGGGTTATTAAGCCAGAAAATGAATGGGGAAAACTGCAGTCATGGAAAAACTTAGCAAAATTAGCTATTTGAGGATGCTCAGGACAAGACGGAGAGACTGTAAGACAGAATTTATATCCTGAAGGAATTTACAACCTAGTTGCAGAAGAGAGAGAATACAAGGTACACTTAATGAGCATATAAACTAGAATAGTACAAAGATGGTCTTCCTGATTTAATACAGAATTATGAATTGTTTATAATATTGCAAAAGCCTAAGCGAGAAGTTCACTTTTAACAGACCCAAACATGTATGTATGCCTATATACAGAAAAGATAAATAATCCTGTTATAAACAATTCAATCTACTTAGCTCAGTCTTTCTTGCTTTTTTTCCCCCCTTTTATGTCTAAGGGGTTTGCACACAATACAAAAGTCAAAAGATGAGAAGGGTTTTTCCTACCTCTGCCCATTAGCTAACAGTTTCTCTCCCCAGAAGCAACCACTGTAAGACTAGTTTCCTTCAATCTAGAAGTATTTAATGCATATAAAGGGCATACCAGTGTGTGTATGTACATATACACACATTATTTTGTATTGCTGTTCTGATTACAGTTTTCTGGCCTGTACATTCTATCTTCCATTTTCCCCCTCTGATGGCTATATTCCCATATTTATACCATAATCAAAGACACTTGTTTCCTACTTGTAAAAGGAAGAACTTCAGATCTAAATGCCCCCACCTCATTCATCATCAATACATTGAAAAAAATTCCACCTAGAAGACAGAGGACAAGAGCTGTCTTAAGTCATTCTCAAAGCTACATTTAGTTGGAAAAATTAGGGAAGGGAGATCTGCAAGATAAAGCAGTCTTCATCTAAAAGAAAAAGCCACTCAACCAGCTCACCTATTAAGGGACTCAGGTTGCAACCCTAGTTTACATGCACAAATTCCCACCAAAGGCAGAATATGTTATGCTTTTAACAGATTTTAACCCATATTCAACTCATTCTTACTTTGCTTCACTATGATGGGTCATACTGATTCCAGATAAAAGTAAGCAATTCACTTGATTCACCCATTAAACAAATCTCAATTGCTTGTTGGCCCTCAGAATGATTGAATCTCTTAAGAAAAAACTGAAAAACACTGATGATGCTCAAGTTATTAATAACATTGGTACAAGTAACAATAATAATTCTTATAGCAATTTATAATTCTGAAAGAACTTTCACATGTATCAGTGAAACCCTCACAACATCCCTGTGAGGTAGGCAGGGTGGGTATTACTTTCCTATTACTAGTGAGAACAAGGCTCATAAGTAAAGTAAGGTCACATAGTTGTAAATGATGAAGCCAGGATTAGAACCTAGGCCATGTTGCCTCCCTGAGAATATTCAAGTAATGAAATCCTATGCTATATACTCATTATTTCTCTCCTATGATGATCAGATCTGATTTTATAAATTTTATACCACCTTTCCCTAACATCTAAAACCACTGAAAACTGTGATAAGACATTTTTACCCAGTTACTGGACTACTTCTCAGACTTATTAAATACCATTCTTAGATAAAATTTATTTATGTTTTAAATTTTGAGGGTCCTTGGCTACAAATTCTAAATTATGAAGTAAACTATTTTAGAAAATTCTGTGAAAGTATTCCTAAGTTGAACTTAAACTAAGCAAAAACAGAACTTTCTGAATAAGATTTTTAGATGTGTATAAGTGAAAAACAGGAAAAGGGTATTTAGCAATATAGCCACCCTAAATGGAAGCCACATTACACTAATTTGTTTTCCTTCTTGATCTTATAGAAGAACCATTAGAATCTACTTTCAAGCTTGATATGCCATATTATATGTGACATCCTCAGCAACAAGCTAGAAAAAGGGTCTGAATTACACCAATAGGAGGGTTCAAGCAGTAGTCATCAAAACGTGCACATGCTAGAAAGGAAGAAAATGTTTGCTCTACAGTGGTTTTGCCTAGATCCAGTGTAAATATACTTATCAAGGCAGATCTTAATCAGTATTGCATTTTCTACATTACATTTAGAAATGTGAAATTAGGTGGCGTTATGAATACAAGACTGAATTATTGACCCTAAACTACTTGTCAGTAACAGTAAAACTCAACAGCCTTAAAAGGCATGGGATAAAACAAAACTGCTCTGGTAAAGAGAGAAAAAACTAAGCAAATGCAAACCTTCAGATTAAAGTAAACCAGAACATCAGGCATATAGATCAGGTTTTAAAACTGAAAATAAGCTGTATTGTAAGGAAATATTTTTTAAATTCCAGTTTTGGCCTTTTTAAAAGGACTGGGGAGAAACTTAAGCCTATTGAGGGGGAAGTGCAGAAAATAAATGGGATCTAGAAAAGTGGGATGAGTAGATGGGAAGTTAGCAAAGACCAGAAAACAAATAACATTTAAAATGGATTTAGGATCTCTCTAAATCAATCTTCTCCAAAAAATGTTTCCTAACCTGAGAGATTTGTTCAAAAAAGTTAGTGACAATAAAAGTAACCATTTATCTTAAAAAAGAAAATATTTAAATGTAGATTAGAAATTAGCTGTCAAAGAGTAGTCTGACCAGACTGTAGAAACTGAAAAACTTAAGTGTTGCCTGTCAGTTATACATGGCAGGAAATTAACTTTTAAAAATAGAATTGCCATAGGACTCAACATTAAACAACTCTTAACGTTTTGTACTTAGAACTTAATGTAAAAACATTTCTACTCTTACTATAAAGACACCTAAATTTTTAGCTAAAGTGAAAAATATTGCAGATATATTTAAGTTTGCTTAAGCTTGAGAAGACCCAGAATGTTCTATTTCAATATACTGGGCTCAAAATGAATTATACTTTTGAAATTCATCTAGGCTAGACTACATTCCTTACATAATATCATTGTCATCATCATCTTCATGTTTTCTCTTCAATGGGTTTGTTTCATTGGTCGTGTTCTGTGATGAAACCATGTTGGTAGTAATAAGAATATTTTTGGGCCCAATCATTGAAGGATTAATCAGAACATTTTGAACTGTAGTTGTTGCAGGAACTGTGAACAGAAGAACCCACCCCCCAAAAAAAACTATAAATAACTGAGAATCCCAAGCATGATAAAAAGTATACAAGAAGCTGAATGTAATGTCAATAGTATAAAGTACAATTCTATGGCAGAAGAAACTCAGGTAATTGTATTGCATTAAGAGTTAAGTTTTTAAAATATTCGATAAAATACTTAAATGTAGCTGAGTTGTTTCTTTTTTTTGTGGGGGGAGACTTAACTACCTAAAATTTCAATTATTACTTAGTCATGGGAAGCAGTGCACTAGATTCATTGTGGAACATACCAAAGGCACAGGTTAGAGGTAAAGAATCATGCTTCCTTTATAAGCCAGTATTTTATATCAGTTGTTTACTGTGTGAAGATAGGTTTCAAAAGATGTAAAATCTA